AGTGGCTTCCAGGAACTTCTGAGTAGATAGCAACAGATGTGACAAATTTGTGGGTTTATTTCCTGGGGTTTACAAAGACCCAAGGAGAGAAGATTCATTTTCTTCAAGTCAAATTCAAAGCCACATCTCTGGGGATTAAAAAAACGAACACAGGGCTGTGGAGTTGGATCAATGATTAGCAGTATTGTTGTTGCTCTTGCAGAGGACCCAGGGTACCCAGTAGTGGATTCTCAGCACCCACATGGCAGATTACAACCTTCTGGTAACTGCAGTCCTGGGGGACATGAAGCCGCCTTCTGACCATAACGGGAATGAGACATACATGTGGAGCACACACACACACACACACACACACACACATATGTATATGTATGCAGATAAAACACTCAAACACATAAAATAATAAAATATAGATAAATTGAAAAAAGGTAATAATTGTTCTATTTTAAATGGCTGCAATAAATATTTTGAAAGGGACATAAAAGATAGCACCTAAAAGAAATATTCATAATAGTGCTAAAATATTTTGACTGCTAAGAGTCAGAATCTATTTATAAATAATACAGTGCGTTAATTATTTACTTTAGGTGTTAGCCTGTTACAACTAAACATAAAAAGATGTACTAACTTATCTGCTAGTAGCAATTTGTGTTAATACTAAAATATTTTGGAATATTTGGATATAATATTTCTGTTGGTACCGGGAGGGGGAGGTTGTATAGAAAATTGACAAATCAACTTAAGATTTAAAAGTCACACTTTTTTGACTGCTCACAATTGAGTCACCTGTACTTCCTGGACGCTTGTACTTCTCTGTGTGTAAATGAAAGAAGCAGGGCAGGCTTAGGTGGAAAGAATAAAAAATACAACTGAAGATGGCAATAGGAAGACATGACAGTGCTCAGGTATCATTGGTACGATCTCAGGGCCTTCTATATATCCTCTGGGCCTGCCTTGTTGTGGCTTTTTGGTGTCCATTTGGTGACAATTCATCACAGCAGCTGGATAGAATGGTCTGTTGCAGGCTCTCTTTTTCTTTTAAAGTTGCATGTATGTGTATGGGTGTGTTTCTCTGTGTACTTATCTGCCATGTGAATCAGATATCTATGGAGTCCAGAAGAGGGTGTTGGATCTCCTGGAGCTGGAGTTAAAGGTGGTTGTGAGTCACCCAGTATAGATGCTGGGAACCAAACTTGGGTCCTGTGGAAGAGCAGAGCAGCCAGTGCTCTTAACCACTGAGCCATCCCTGGAACGTCCCTCCTCATTGCAGGTTTTTGTATTGGTATTTGTTCTTGTGTAATGTTTTATTAAATACAGAACTGCCCAAGCAGAATTAGATTAAGAAGTCAGGAGTGAATGACCAGCTGTCCTTGACAATTAAAAAACCAAAGTAGCAGTTGATTCCAAGAAGAAGGAAAAAGATATTATCCACTCAGTATTATTTCATCAGGAAAAGAAACCAGAACACTCCTTCAAACATGCAAAGTGCAAGCACTCTTGCAAGTGTCCAACCAGATCCATATGCTATGTAATCACCATGAAAATGAAATTGAAATTCCACACCACAGTGTGAAATTGATCTAATGTCCCTATCCCACAAGTAAAGATGTTTTTTCATATTCATATTCTAAAGCCTAATAGCAGCATTTCCTATCAACAATTGAAAAACATTACAGCTGCAAGAATTTCTTAACTAATTTGGGCATGATGACTTAGCACGAGAAACCCCTGAACTTTAACTTCTCCCCCTCAGCCAACCAGCCAAACATTCAGGCATCCTTCAATGCTCAGGAGAACCTGGCTTCCTAAGGACTATACTCAGGGGCTTCCAGGAGGCTAGCAATCTCATGTCTTTTCATGAAATGTATGGTTCAATTTGCTCCAAACCATGGTGTGCTTGTATGTGCATGTGCACACGCGCATGTGTGTGCGTGTGTGCGTGCGCGTGCGTGCGTGCGTGCGTGTGTGTGTGTGTGTGTGTGTGTGTGTGTGTGATGTGTATGCTCACACAGTCTGAATGTCTTAATTATTCAGGCTCACTTTATAGTTCTTGAACTTCTGAGTGGTGCACGTGTGACCTGACACCTTGGTCTGATAATACATTTGGCAACTATACATATTAATTTGTAAGTTGAACAATCTTTTTTTTGGAGGGCAGTTAAAAAGCTCAGATTTAAATCACTAATCCAGGGTGACTTGAGTTGTCAACTATTATATAGTCAAGGCTTGACCAAGGTTTCCAGAATCCTGGCTAAAAGTGAAAACTTTGAGTCAGTACAGAAATGACATCATACACTTCCCTGGTAGTGAGAAACTTCTTGAAGAACAGATGTCAAGAGGAGTTAAGAGGAGCTGAAATTTAACATCTTAAAAAAAGAGAAAACCCCGCAAAGCACATTAGGAAGAAATCATTTGGGGGATAGCTATTAGAGAAAGAACTGATTGATTTCCTTTTCCTGCATACATTGTGGACCTATGCTAAGATCAAAAACATAAAGGGCTATCTGTCAAGTTGGGTGACAAAAACAATCTATGTTCTCACGGCATAGAGGACTTCTACACTCATGCACTTCGAAGAGTGAAATCTCTCCTGACACTCACAGCTCTGTGTCCACTGCCTGATTGCTATTCTTTTCAACTTGTCATGGGGATATTTTATTTTGGGGCATCACCCCCACTCAGAAAACTTAAATATCATCTTACCCTTCCCCAAGCATCCTGACATCATCTGACCTCAATCTTTCAGTCAAGACACTTGTGAGCTTTCTGCTTTTCTACAGGTACTTCATGATTGATGTCTTCCAGGGTGTCTAACCTGCAACCCTCAGGCCCTGTGAAATCCAGAGTAGCTATAAATGAGGCTGGATACAAAACCACAAACTTACTTAAAACATTATGATAACAGCTCATTTGAACTGTGAGGTTTTCAAGTGTGAACTCTGTAGATGACAATGGTGTCAGAAGGTTGGACAACCCAGACTGACTCTCAAGGTTAGAAAGAAACTACTATTGTGGCAGTAATTCTTAAGGTTGACAGGGATGAAATTATCCAAGCCTTTGCCGAAAGGCCTACTTGGTTAAATTGCCTAATATTAAAGTATAAATCTCCCCCTCACTGGTCACCACACTTATGCTATCCCCTAAATCCCTCCATGAATTTCTACACAGGCCCATAAGTTATTTTCAGTGATGGCAATACCTTGAATGTCTTGATACATGGACTGTCTATACAATGCCAACATCTGTGGCCTCTGCTTTCTGTGATGTCATCATTTGAGGTATGATCTTCATTCCTATGGAGCTGAACTGGGTTCTTTGGTCTGCTTATCTAAGAGCCAATCCACAATACAAACTGTCTGTAGCTTTCCGTATATGGCTAGGTGGCCAGAGGTCCATACCCCAAACCACCATAAACAGTAGGCACAATCAGCAGCCCCTGCTTGGGAGAGGCCCAGGACGGAGCTAGCAGAAAGACTGGATTACTTACCACCTCTAGAGTGGGTCCCTCCAGGCCAGGGACGAGCTCATGGGCAAGGCTGTGCAAGGAAGCTCTCTGTACCATGCCTGCCCTGCGGATATACAGAGGACTTCAGTGGCCTGCGCTGTCAATCTCTCAGTCAGCATGAGCTCAATTATGCACCGACAACAGCAAGAACAACAAGAACAACGACAGAACAACCCCCAAAAACTAAGGGTCACGGACTAGCCTGATTGAGGTGGGGGGACAGCGACTGCAACTGTGGAGGTGCCATCCTGACCATACACCACCTAGCTTGGGCTGGACCTTTCGTGGCATTTCAAATGAGCATTCCACGGAGAGTCACATGGAAGAACTGTGAGCCTGGGCCCTAAATGTCAGGCAGCTTCTCATTGCAAGATACTTCTTTTACTTAAAAATAAATAAATAAATAAATAAATAAATAAATATTGTGATTCCTTACATTTTTCTCTTCTACAAATACAGAAAGACAGACAGACAAACCCAAGAGCAGATTTTGAGAATCAACTGAGGCACAAGTGAAACTATTTTGATGTTACATAGATATTGCTCCCCACCCCTCCCCCCAATGATTCAGGTGGAGCTTAGGAAAAAAAAATGTAAAAAGTTGAAAGAAGAAAAATGTGGGGATATCTCCTTATCATTCCTCTGTCGTGCCAAAAATAGATTCAATGCTGGACTTGGGATGATGCCCAAACACATCTCATAGGTAGCACGTATCTGCAGTATAAAGTGCTCATCATCAAATTCTAAAGAGTCTATTCGTTTAAAGCCTAAACAATATGCTGGTCAGCTACAGCGAAGGTTGACTGCTTGCATCAGCAGCACAGTGTTTCATCCTGAAGTTCAAGGCTCAGTCAAACATCACTGCTCCGATTGCACATCACAGCACCTTACACTGACATGAGTTGCTAAGTTTATGGTGAAATCTGAGTGAGGCAGTTGATGAAGGCGGTTGACCCTGAGAAGTGGAATGAATACAGAGAGCATAGACCCAGCACACAGTTCCACACCACGCTATCAATGCCAGTTACCAGGGCCCCCACGGACCACGCCATGGTTGTGCAACAGCGCCTCTATCCCCCTCAGTATCTCTGCTCCACAGACACAAGAACAAAACAACCTCATCTGTGAGCTAGTGGCAAGGAAAAGGAGAGAGAAGCTTAAAAGAAATCAGGGCTTTCTAGAAACTCTGCTAAGAAGGATCCAGAATAAGAGGTGAACAGTAAGTAATTGATCCTCCTGGCTAGATTTTGTGGCGTCTGTACGGATTCATGGCTTGGAATACCAGAATTCACCAGCTTATGTCTGACCTTGCTCATCAACACACACTCAGTACAAACAGGTGGAGATGTGTCAAATCCGACCACTACAGGTTGAAAATATGACCACTATTGACCATGGAAACATTGGTTTATGCTCGAAGGGTCACAGCAGCCAGACATGTGCGAATTCCAACTCTTCCGAAAACTTGGGACAGAAACAAAATGCATTTACTTACATGTGTGTGTCTTCTTCGTCACTGAGATCCCTGGAAGAGAAGAGACAGAGAGACAAAGGTCAAGAGAGGTCCTGTGAGGTCCCTGTGGTCATAGGTCATGCAGTGTGTGCTTAGAACATGTAACCTTCCATCAGTGACAGAGCTGGGATTGATCACAGGACATACTCCGAAGCCTTGAATTGTAAAGGACAGGGACTATGAGCTTACTTCCTCTCTTATGAACTAACTGCATGGTTGATAGCTCAGTGAGCACCATACTTGTCTAGCAAACATAAGAGTTCAACCCCTCAGAATCCATGTTACTAAATAGTTGGTTGTATTGGTGAATGCTTGTAATCCTGTTGCTGAGGAGGCAGATGAAGGCATACCACCTTCCTGGAGCTTGCTTGTCATCCAGGCTAGCTCAATCGGACAATTTCAAGCCAATGAGAGATTATCTTCAAAATAAAAGTGGATGGTGCCTGAGGAACTCCACCTGAGGTCGTCTTCTGACCTCCACATATACATGCATGTACATGGACCAGCACATACGTGTGCACCCCCACTCATGTATGCATACACATTCACTCACAAAGTGATGGCAGAGACAGTAGTGAAACAGGGATGAGAAAAAACTCATTGCTTCATTGTCAGTCAGTACGTGAGGGGATCATGTTAGCAGGCAGAGAGAAGGCACATGAGAGCAATGCCAAGGGTTAATTTGGCACAGCCGTTGACTGTTTCCTTGTTAATGAAAATATTCTTCCCTGCATAGCTTTTTATGGTGAAGAAAAGTGCAACCACACACACACACACACACACACACACACACACACACACAGTTATCTATGTGTCTGTATTTGTTAAAGTCCATAGGGGAATGATAGCTATCTCTCTACAAATAGCATCGATATGTATGGTGGGAACACAGAGGATGCATGAGTCAGCACCTTGGAAGTTCCCAAGATGATTGACGGGTGACAGGTGACAAGTGGAACTAAGTAGTAGCTGGCACCCAACAAAGATGGTGGCCATAAGCTTCGGTGCAAGCTGTTCTAGCTCCACCTCATAGTATCTAAGCTTTGAACATCTCTTATGCTTCAGCCTTCTAGGGAGACATTCTCAGGGATAAACTGGCTCACAACAGTCAAACTGTTGAAAACATTGAACTTGTGACTAAGAACTGCGGTAAGCCTTGCATTTTTTTCTCTCAACTTATTAAGAAAACTATTTAACCCTCCCCTGGAAAGTAAAAGTAGTTGGAAAATTTGGCACCCTGTAGAATAGGACCTATTACTTAACTATGGAACACATCGTTCGGGGAGGAGATCTATTACGAAAACCCTTGGTAGACATTAAGGGAAAAAAGTTTTAAAGTTGTGAGCCAAGACCAAAATCATACACTTGCTTCTCCGAAGTTTTCCAAAGGCCTTATTTAAGGAAGCTGAAATTACATAGCCCAATTCAAATTTATCCCCCACCCCCTTATTGAGGAAAAACGAGACTGTTGCTTTTCATTGTGTTTACTTTGGCTTTTCAATGGGAAGGGAGATCCCTCTCTGAAGACCCTCAGAGACTCTCCACGGGAACTGCAGAAGTGTTCTAGAAGTTTCAGAAGCCGAATTTATTCTAGGAAATCCCCTTTCCCCCAAAGCAGCAGTGAGGGGCTCTTAAAACTCAATATGATTTGTGACTCCAGCTCATGACACCAGCACCAATAAATGGCTACATTAGTGCCTTTTCAGCATTACTGGAGATGCAAGCATGCTTTCCTTAGGAAATGGCACCTTCTGGAAAATCACTTTGAAGAGAAAGTGCCTAGGCTGTCACTCCTGATTATTCAGCCCCCCACACACAATTGGATTGAATGCAACCCCAAACAGACCTATCTATATTCGCTGAGTATGGAACTCTTTTTCTCCTGACACTCTAAGGCCTGATGAAAATCCCAGTGCGTTTGGGTTTTCTACTTAAACTTATTATTCAGCATGGTACCGTGTTCTCATCAAATTTTTTCATGATGATTATACCTATAATAGATTTTGAGTCTCTTTCCAGGAAAGCTGCCTGATCCCGGAGGTTTCGGTAGCAGGCAAGGAGCAGAAACGTCACATCTGTCTCTTGGGAGAAAGCATATCTTCGTCTTGAAAATGGTTCAAACTCTTGGCCTCATAGTTTTGTGATACTGCCAATTAACAGGCCAGTGGAGGGCATGCCAATGTTGAGGTTGCTAAAGGTAGCAGACAAAATACAGACTGCTAGGCTGCGTTTGGACTTCCACTATTAACTTCTTTCTATTCTATTTGGCAACTCCAATCTGTATAAATATAATCCTATATTACATTATTTTTTTTACAATGAATATATCTAACCAATCAAATGGAGAACATAAATCCACACTTCCTCTCAAAAGCTATATATATATATGTATATATATATAAAACTGGGTATAGTACATTGTTTTTATGAAGGAGCTATTTTGAAGACAGAATTCTGTTTCCCTAGAAAAGGCAAACAAAAGCAACAGTGTAAACTCATGAAAGATAAATTCAAGGGAATAGTTAGACAATTTACATAAAACTCCCTTTGTCCTCTTCACTTGAAAAAAATAATCACCTTGACCCTGAAAATGCCTTGAACTTGTCCCCCTTCTTTCTCTATGGGACTTGTGATACTTGATATTTATGACTCCACAGACATAAAAAAAAGAAAAAGAAGATGATCTCTGTATTTCACAGAAACCAAGGCCCAGGAAAACATAATTAGCATATTTAAAGTTTCTCTGTGGAAGTTAACACTTGGTGAGAAATGTGCCTGAGGCAAGTCTTTAAGACCCTGGTGTAGACAGGACCTCTAAAAAGCATGTCAAGAGGAGGTCTACTCCCTCAAATATGTCCTCACAAGTGAGCTGTGTAAATGATTTAATCCTGTGGGAAGAGTATTTAAACTAAGCCCCAGCTCAGGTTTGGAGGAGAGTAGAACACACAAAAACTCCTGTCTCACCATCTGGAAGGTGAACTTAACCTAGTATTCTAGAAGAAAGGGACTGTCCTACAGGGACTCTGTCTGCTCCCATCACCTTGGTGTCACTGACAGTCAGCTGTGCATTCTGCTCTTGTCAGTCCTCTGGCAGGAAAGTCTTCTCTTAACTTTGTGGAGATTTAGTTTCTTGTCTTCCTCACTCAGAACAGGGCTCATCCTCAATGGACATATAGTGCCAATCCTTCCTATTAGGGAAAGGGGAAAGACCTTGGAGGCAGGGCAGGGGAGTTCTTATCTAAATTTAGGGTGGGCAGCAGCAGAAGAAAGAATTCTTGGAAGAATGAGACTTCCCAAAGGAAGATCATATTTAGTATTAAGATTGCAAAGAATGTATTTTACTCAAGAATAGAAAAGAGCAAGTTTCCTCAAAGCTGCTTTTACAAGAGCTGGATCCAGCCCGCCTGTGTTCCTGACTTTTGGCTGAGAGACCTTGAGCAAATAGTTAAACCTCTCTGGACCTGAATTTCTCCATGGAGAATACAGATAATCTTTGTAATTCCCAAAAGAGTGCTGTGATGATTCAAATAGAACCAGAGCTTTGATAAACTGTGGAGTCTGATATATAATTTATTTTGGTGAAGAACAAATAACCATATATTATTCTTTACAATTTATATTTTTATTTTATGTTTTGCTTGTATGCATGCCTGTGCATGTAGTACCTGTAGAGGCCAAAAAAAAAAAAAAAAAAAAAAAAAGGGTGTTAGATCCCCAAGACCTGGAATTACAAATGGCTGTGACCTACCATGTAGGTGCTGGGAACTGAACCCAGGGTCCTCTGGAAGAACAGCCAATGCTCTTATCTCTCCAGCTCTACACACAGTATTATTACTATTAGTATTATTATTTTTATTATTTTTAAGGATCATAAAAAGGGGAAAGGGGATTGGGGAGACCAGCTTCTGAGGACAGGGGCAGGAAAACAGGAAAGAGAGAGGGAAAGGAGAAGGAAGGGAGGGAGAGAGACAGACAGACAGAGACACAGAGAGAAAGACAAAGAGGGAGAGAGTCACACAGTATTATTTTAAATGTTTTTATTTATTTTTATCTTATGTGAATTGTTGTTTTTGCCTGTATGTATGTCTGTGTGAGGGTGTCAGATCTTAGAGATAGGCAGTTGTGAGCTGCCCTGTGGGTGCTGGTAATTGAACCCAGGTCCTCTGGAAGAGCAGTCAGTGCTCTTAACCACTGAACCATCTTTCCAGCCCCCACACAGTATTATTTTAACAAAATGGATTATCATATGTTACTAGAAGCTATGACACCTGCCTTCCTATCACCCCTGGGGTTGATACTGACTCAGGGTCCATGACAACCATTGTTTGTGACTGGAAGAAAGCATGAGATAGACAAGTGAGCTCCATGAGGCACAGAGAACTTTCTGGTAGAAACAAGCACCATGTTGATTCTCTTCTCTGTTTGGTTCAGAGAAGCTACTCACAGCTGATGGAGTAGGTGAAGGATGTTGCTCACTACCTCCAAAGGATGACCAGGGGCCTGGCTGCTTTGTTTACTTGCAGATGGTTGAAATAAAGCCAAGGTCATGTCTCAGAGGCTCACAAACAGGCAGAGCAAAGGTCTCTGCAGACAGAGAAACTTTATGGAGGGGTGAGGAATGGTGACATGGGTTCTCTTCCAAACACAAACATTTCACAACCCTGAATTCAGAATGACCTCAATGGACAGCTTGGGCTACCTGCTCAGTGTGTCTGAACTTAGATTTTCTTATGTATAAAATACAGTAGTAGAACTATCTGATTTTTTTTCCAACTTGTTCTTGGATGAACAGCTCCTTGCACTGCCTCTAAACTACTGTGCCAAACCATTTCTTCTAAGCAGCAGGCTGTCCTGTTGGACCTGTTTTGAGAAATCCAGAAGCACTCATAATCAAAGACAACCCCCTGGAACATTTTTCTTTTTCCTTTAAAAACCAAAAGGGAAAGAGGGCTATGTTTGCAGAAGGTTACATCAGTGAAAGAGGCACTTCTCATTGGGCATCTTTTAAAGTT